GCTCAATTGTGGAGAGGAAGTTATTCTTGAATCAGGGACTGAATTTCTGGCAGCGCAGCCAGGGCAGCTGGCTGACAACCTGGACAGAGAAGAACAGGCATGGAGTCCCCAGCGAAGAAGGGGAGGCAAGGGAGGCTGAAGAAGGAAGGGCTGGTTTCTCTGGGAACGTTCAGTGTGCTCTAGAAGGAGATACTGCGGAGAGGTGGGTGGACTCCCATTCGGCAGTTCAGAGTGAAGAAGAGACCTGCAGGCGAGGTGGGGCTCATGTCCCTCAAATGCAGAAATTTCTGACTGGACATTTCCGTAACAGATCCAACACTTCCACAAGCTCAACCTCCACCCACCGTCATGCGGCCAGGTCCTCCTCAGAGAACTACACCAGAGAAAGAACCGTGGGGCCAGAAGAAGAATTGGCCCAGGGTAGGTCTGGGAACAAGAACTCAGCCTTGACGTCTGTGGCCAGAAAGAGGAGAAACCCAAAGTCCCGAAGCCTAGAAAGCCCAGAAGAGAGTGGGGCTGGCGGCAGGATATGGGGGTCCCGCAGAAGGAAGACGAGGCCTGGCGAGAGGGAAAGGGACAGCAGCCGCAGCCACGAGGAGAGCTCCTCAAGCAGCAGGGAAGAGAGACCAAGTGGTGGGACTTCTGGAGGTGAAGGACAGCCAGCCACCCTTGTGCAAGGAGCAGCCAGAATCAGGGAGTGGAGACCCTGCAGGAGAAGGAAGGAACCCCTTGTGCGCATGAGGTCCAGCGGCCAGCGGTTTCCTCAGGCAGAGCAGGACGACAGGGCTGGGCAGCCCCCTGCTAGGCAGTCTCCCCGCAGCAGGGGGTGCTCCTCAGAAAGGGGCATGGTAAGACTGAGACCCCAAGAATTCCAAGCGGTGGGCAGGGAGGGGGCATCTCTTGAGGACAGCCGGGGACCACCGGGGGGCCATGGGGCTTCTGAAACCACAGCCCCCCCGGGCGGGCCAAAGTGCCCCCCTCCCGATGGGGACCAGTTCCGCAACCTGAAAGAAAAGATCCTATTGAGGCGCAAGGAGCTGTGGAGCTCCCCAGACAGTGAGGAGGAGAATCCGGTGTAGCTCTTCCTTTGGAGGGGCACACGTGTGGGGCGTGGGCATGTAAATAGTTTGTGTTATTTAAAAAATACCCATTAAACTTTTTAACTTGACGCTTCTGAAAGGAGGCTCTTCTCTGCCTGCGATGGCCAGGTTGTGTTTCCCATCCTGATCGCCTCTCCTGATGCCCACGTTTCCCCTCGGGGTCTCCCGTTCGTCTCTCCCTCCCTTTGGATCTCCCCTCTGCTTCCACCACTGGCGCTTGCCACCCATCCTCCCTCAGAGTCTTGCTCAGAAACCTCTTTCCCAGCCACCCTCCCCCCATCTCCTGCCTGCGCCCAGTTCCCAAGGCTCTCCCAACCGCCCTTCCTCCTGCGGGCGTCTTGCTGCTGCAGCACCCCAAATGTCTGGGAACATCCCATGCCTTCCGGCTGTTCAGCCACCAGCTGGGGGGTGCCCCTGAAAGAGGGAGCAGCAGTGCTTTGGACCCCCAGCTCCCTGCCCCTCCAAGCCCCAGCTCTCGGTCGCTGTGCCCCCTTCCTGCTGGGAGGACACCCCCCTCTCCCGGGGCCAGAGATCGAGAAGCTGAGAAACCTGGATTGGCGGAGGACTTGGGGGGCAGCGGCGTAATCCTTTTGGGAGGCACCACAACTGCCTTGGCAAGAAGCTTTCAGAGAGGGAGAGGGAGGCGTGAGGCTATTCCGCAAGCGTTTTCAAGAGGAAAGTGGAGGGGGGGCAACAGACTTTCAGTGATTTAAAAATAACAATCAAATGTTTACTCCACCTTTCTTCTCATGTAAGCGCTCAAGCTGGATGTGGTGGAATTTCCTAATTCAAACTTTTGATCTCATCCCCCCTGCCACCCAACTGCAAACGTAATTTTGTGCACAAGGGCACTCCTTCCAGAGGCCATCGCCAGGCCTAAAGAGCCCACCGGCCACTGGGAAGGTGGCCGAAAAAGAGCTCATTGGGCCTGAAGCAAAGTCCTCCACTTGTGGGCTTCGGAAGGGGGTCCTTGAGTCGTCACTTCTAAATTCAGGCCCCAGCGTCAGGTGGAACAGCTCCATTTTTAGCAACTGCGTCACTGGTGGGGAGGGGGGCTTCATTTTTAAAGGGACCCAAGCAGTGAAGAAGTGTCTTCCCCAGGTCCCTTTTCTGGAGCTGCCTTGCTCGTGGTCGCCCTGCCAGGGAAGGTGAGGCTGGTGGGCTCCAGGAAGAGGCTCTTGCCAGGGTGGGCCCCAACCCGGAGAGGATCCTGCCCCAGAGACGCCCTCCTGGCCCGGCCCTTGGCTTCATTCTGCCCCTTTGAGAAGGGGCTGGCTGGCAGCAATTTCCTCTGCAGACCTGGGCAGCCCGTTGTCGTCTCGCTGTTTAATCTGGATCCTGGCGGAGGTTCTGGCGATTTACTGCAGCCACTTTCAAGCCACTGAACACTACTCTGTTGTAAATCTCTGAAAAAGGCCAGTGCCCCCCCAACCCAACCCCCCCCCCCGCAGCTGGGACCAGTCCTCTCCAGAAAGGAGGTGCTGAGGACTTGCTTCTAAATGCGTTTACTGGGTTGGGGAGGGAAAGGGCCTTGGGCTGTCCCACAGCCATCTTTGGGGTCCTGGGGGGGGAGTAGAGAAGAAGAGGCGAAAGGAGCCACGTTTCTCCTTCGGCGATCACAGGTGGCTTCTGTCCAGAGGAGGACGGGAAGCTGCAGAGAAGAAAGAGCTGGTCACCCTCTGAGGAAAGAGAGCAATGGCACCTGCTTGTAGTCTTTATTTGAGGACTAGTGACATGCCGGATACAGAACACAGAAGCTGTGCAGGGAGTTCAGTGTCTTTCGAACTTGGATGCCAGATAATAGCATGTGATTGGGGGGGGGGTGTCAATTTGAGCATGAGAAAGCTGCTTGAGGCAGAGAGGATACCAGCTTCATTTGGGGGATCCAATCCTCCTCACCCTTGAAAATCCAGATGGGGGTTGGCAGCTGTCCTGGCCTTTCCATGGCCCTCCCATTCCCCCCCCAAGGGCAGGGCCTTTCATGCCCCATAATTCCCAGCCTTTGCAAGCGGGGAGGGGATCTGCAGAGCCTTTCCTGTGTGGAAGCAATTCCGGCCCACTTGCCATTATTTTTCCACTCTTCTTCCTTGAGAAAAGAGTTTTCCACTTGTGGGGGAGAGACTGAACGGTTACCAAACTGGCTTTGAAGGAGTGACATAGATACCTGAACCAAAACCTCCAGACTACCAAGCCCCTGAGCTCAAGACAGCCTCCCTTATAGCTTGCTTGGGCATTTGCAGATGCCGGCTCTCAAGTTATCTGAAATCAGCACTAGTATTTTTTAAGGGGAACTAGGAAGTAAGGAACCAGAAAAACTGGCTAGTGCTGATCTCACCTTCATTATTCTGCTTATCTCACTATAAGCAGAAAACCCAACCCATGTTATGTTTGGCGCTGGACTTCCTGACTGGTCAGCATTTATTGCACGGCTCTAGGAAGGCGGCTTGTAGCCTCCTTCAGTGGGCAGAATCTCGTGGCCTGTCCCCAGCGCTGTACAAATAAACTTGGCTCAAGCCGATCGTGTGGTTCCCCGCTCTTCAGTGGGGCCGTGGGGATTTTTCTCCTTCAGCTTTCTAAGCATTTCCCCAGGGATGGAGCTACAGCTAGGGGTGTATCTCAGCTGAAGAAGTCTGTGCAAGAAGAAATGGGTGTGTGCTTAACGGGAGCTGGTGGCTGCCGAAAGGCAATTTCTAGCAATGTTGCTCAACCTCGACAACTTTAAGTTGTGTGGACTTCAACTCCCAGAATTCCCCAGCCAG